CGCAAGCCCATGGAGCAATCCTTGCTGCTTCTCTCGCTGAGAACACAACCTTCTCTATCACTCATTTACTCCAAGAGTTTGCCGATCGTCGCTCCATTGTCTGGTCAAACATTTCTTCTCCTCGGAGTCCTGGTCTATTACAAAACCAGCTTTTTTGTCCAAATCCTTATTCTCCGTTCTAAAGGTCTTCGATTTTTCCGTCCTTGCTGCTTCAATTCGATGCAAAGCTAAACTTCTGGGCATCTGGCCATAAATCGACGAACGGCAGAAGTCATCACCAGCCACATCTGGCCAAATATTTGTTTTTCGCATAGTGCAGCTTACAACGAAAGTTTTCCCTTACATCCTTCACGTTTATTTGAATATAAACACTACACCGTTTGATAAAAGTAAAGTATGGGATGAACTTGAAAAATATAATAAATACATACGGAGAATATCACATTCTTAAATTTTATTAAAATTTAAAATCATTAAAGTAAATATCAAGTATTAATTTTATTAATAAATTATATGCACTTTAATGTAATTTCATATTATCCGGACACCTTTTCAGCTCTTCTTGCCAAACGGTATTATTCCGTTCAGTTAGCAATTCAGATTCAGCACTTTAAAGTTCAGGTTCAGACAATAGTCTATGATTCATGCAATAGCCCATAATTCGGACATTAGTCTTCAACTTCAGCTCGGTGTGCCAAACATAGCCTAATTCCCCTAGTTTTGAAAACAAAAACAAAAATATGGGATGTACCATCTCCACGTGGGCGTAGCTAGGGGCCAACCCTGAAATAACTTTTTAACATGAAATATTGGTTTCATAAGAAATGTACAAAAGGTATGAATTTTGATACATTATTTGTAACAATTAGAGTACAAATAGAAGAGTTATAACATTTTAAAAAATTGATGTTTTCAAAAGTGCTAAACTATTTTTTAATATGTATGAAATATTAGTGGCACATTAAAGATAATAAGAAATTTTGAATTTTGATATAAGTTGTGTCACACCCTCTTGTCCCAAACATAGTGGGAGGAGGTAGTATAAGACTCTAAAAACAAATTTGTTTAAAGTGCTAATTTTTTTAGCTATGAAATATTAGTCATATGAAAGATAATAAAAAATTATTAATTTTGATATATTTTTAAATATAATCTGAATACAAATAAAAAATTATAACACTTTAAAAAATAGAATTTTTCTAAAGTACTAATTTATTTTTCTAATTTTTATATATTCAATATTGGTGTCATATGAAAGATAATAAAAAATTATGAATTTTGATATATTCAATATTGGTGTCATATGAAAGATAATAAAAAATTATGAATTTTGATATACTACGTATTTTTTATAATAATTCAAGTATTAATAAAAACATTAGTCACTTTAAAAAAAATTGGGGTTTTTGTTTCATTTGGGTCCCACGATTGCCTTACTCCAATGTTTTGTTGCGCCCTGTACTTCTGCGTCGTACATTGTAAGTGGAATGGCAATTGTCTTAAGCCTTAACTAGTGCGGCAGTACTTAAGGAAATATTTTTAACTCAACATTAATTTGATGAATACTTTTTTTATTTAGCATCAATTTTGAAAAAAACTCTATTTTTAATGTAAAAATTTTATGTAATTTTTTTCAAAAATATTTTTTGCACCAGTTGTATAATACGGAGTATAATTTACCATTAGATGTTCATGCGCAAATTATACCGTACAGCCGGCTGTACCGTGTGCACGGTACAACCGGCCTTTTTTAGGGCTCTTCTGTGCTTCTCGTCCGGCTTCTCCGATCTCCGTCCCTGATTCTGTGTTGCTCTCCGATCTTCGCCCCTGCTTCTGCGCTGCTTGCGAAGGAGTTCACGCACCAAGCAGACCACTCCTCTGGCAGCTCTCTTCTCCTCAAGCTCTCCTCTCGCCACTCTCTTCTCCTCTTGCAGAGGTGCACAAGAGACGGCGGCTCTAGGCGATTTCTTTGTTGGTCGGGAAGAAGTATGCATGGAAGACATATTGGAAGATGATTTAGGAGATTTGAGTTCATATTTCTTGATGACGAATCTGGAATGAGTTTTTATTAAACTCAAATGAGTATAAGCTTAAAAACAATGAACATACACAAATGAATATCGAGCATATTAAAAATGAATTTTACGTAAAACTCAAATGAGTATAAAACGAAAATGAATGAGTATACACAAATGATCTTTTGAATTTTTTATACTCATTTTGTGAGTTATGTATGCTCATTTGGTACCTCTTTATGCTCATTTCAAACGTATCATACTAATGTTAAACTCAAATGAGTATAAGGCCAAAATGAATGATCATACACAAATGAGTTTTTAATTTTTTTGATACTCATTTTGTAAGTTACATATGCTCATTTGGTGTTATTTTATGCTCATTTAAAAAGAACAGTCTCGATGCTCATCACAATCGCATAATGAAAATCATTGGTACTTATATTTTCAAGTTGATTCTCAATAAAAATGTCTTGATGTACAATTAAAAGTACTTATGATTTTCATATCAATTCTCATTTTATAAGTTATGTATGCTCAACGGGTATTCATGTTGTGCTCATTTGTAAAATGACATAAGAATGCAAATTTCAAAAGCATCATATTGCATTAAATTCGCATACTGAAGTTCATAAGAGTTGATTATATATATATAATTTAATAAGTTTTTATAAAGAAAAAAATAAGAAAAAGAAAGTAAATTAGAAGAGATGAAGCAGAGATCACGATGCTCATTGTTATATTTCTAATGCTCAACAAAATGTCACATGCTCACTAGACGTGTTTTAATGCTCATTTAGTATAAGACGTGAATTTCATATAATTTACAAAAATGTCATTGGCCGTACAAACGGCTGTTTTTAGGTAAAATCTTTAATCTAAAATAGTTACTTTCTGCTACATGTGTGGCCAGCTACAAAGTAAAAAATCATCTGCATCACCAGTTGGTGCTCGCAAGCCGCACCAGTTCCGCATGTTCCAAACTTGTTTTTACCTAATTCTGTTTCCTAAAGCAATGAAATTGTGCAGGATTAAAAGGAAACGGTCGACCATGGAGTTTCTGTGACTCTGTGTCACAGCCAGTAAGTCCGCCTGCCGCTGCTGCTTCAGCTGCCGATTTGAGATGCATTCATCTAGTCAGATGCAATCTTCTCAGTCAAATTTTGTCAAAGTCTGGGAGGTAGAATGCTTTATTTTGTAGTTATGTAAATGGTTAATGCCTGATTTGGTCCCTCGACCGTATACTATTACTCAATGTGGACTCTGTTTGGTCTTCAAGGGTCCTATCAGTATGCAATTTAGACTCAACTCTGACAAGCAATAAACCGAACAGTTCAAATGCACTTCATAAATTTGATCTTTTACATTATTGGCTATATATTTTCTTGTAGGGAAACTTATCTGGACAGAGACAAGGACAACCTGTGTTCATCACCAGACTAGAGGTGTCTTTCTGCTTGACCTGTGAATTTCTGTGTTCTTTAATCATCTTTAAAATGTTCGGTTTCATAGTGTTTGCATCTGATTGTGTTGCAATTGACAGGGGTATAGGAGTGCATCAGCATCTGAAACGTAAGTGTACAGATTTATGAATTCTCTTGATTGTTACACTTTACCAAGAAGAACTTTCTAATTATTTGGATTAGTTGTTAGAGGGATAAGCCAGCTTGGTGATGCCTTTCACTATGAACTTTGTTTCTGACTGTTTAAATTGAGGTTTTTGCCCATCTCTTTTTCAGGCTTGCTGCAAATTGGCCTGAAACCATGCAAATAGTACAACTTTATTCTCAGGATCATATGAGCAACAAGTAACCCCTTTTGTATTTCCATTATTGCATTTTCTTAACCGAATTTATGAATATGTGTTATTACATTATACTTTGATTAGACTCACCATTAATTTTTGTTTTTCTTTATGATAGGCAATATGTTGGTAAAGCAGATTTTGTAGTTTTTCGGGCTATGAACCAGCATGGTTTTCTTGGTCAATTACAAGAAAAGAAGCTTGTAAGTATTTTACCAAGGCTTGCTTGTATAATATCAATTAAAAAAGGAAAAATTGAAAATAATAATCCCAACTGTTGGCGGTCCGCTGCCAATAATCTCAACTATTGATTATTTTTATATAATCCCAACTATATAGACCGTCCGCCAATAATGGTCCATAACTAGATATTATCTCCTATAACAAGTGAATTTTAAATAGAAATTAAGCGTAAAAATTAAACGTTGGGATTATTTATATGGATTACTTGCTATATCTCATCCTATCCACTTTAGAAACTACAAGAATTTATTTATAGGGACCATTATTGGCGGAAGGTCCCTAAAGTTGGGATTATTTCGGAACAATCAATAGTTGGGATTATTATGAGCGGGCCGCCAATAGTTGGAATTATTAGTATCAATTTTTCCATTAAAAAATGAAAAGCTTATTTCAAATATCATACTGTACTCCATCAATTCCATTGGACTTGCCACTTTTCCTTTTGTGATTGCCCCTAAACTTTACCACTTTCTATTAAAGTAATTAACTTGTGAGTTTTTTCATTTCCATCATTTCCAATGAAGCCAAAGACTCACTATTTTTTGGGTTGGGAATATGATGAAATAAAGCAAATGGCTACTAGGGTAATGTTGTTGTTGTTCATTTACCTCTTTTGCATAAAGCTCAAGCACACAATTTTTAGTTTTCTTATTTCTCATCTAATTCAAAGTTGGCAATGTCGAACGGGACAAAGGTTATAGTGAATATTTTGTTATATATGCTATACAGCCGGAGTCTTGCACCATCTGTGGGTACAATAATCATGTTTCCTAAATTTACATTACATTCACTTTCTTATTTGCCACTAAGTTTTATGGCTCTAATATCAAATAGTTGGCATTACGGTGCTGTAATGATGCGTTATTTTATTGAATGGCTCTTGTGCAAGTGTTATACCTCAATTTTATGGTCTGAAAGTATACGCCATATGTTTCTAGTGTGCAGTCATTCAATTGCCCTCACAGACACTATTGCTCTCTGTTTCTGACAAAGCTTGCCGCTTGATCGGGAAGCTTTTTCCAGAGGTAAGATTTTTCTTTGGCTTTGAAAGTTAAATATCCTTTAACTTAACGGTATGTCTGGATCATGGAAAATGTTATGTAAAAGCTAGAAAATGCCAATGAAAGTTAAATTTTTACTGTTTGGCTTTGCTAAGGAACATTACGAAGGAAAATAAATATCCTACTTTAGTCAGACCTGGAAAATAGTAATTGACTAACCAATTCTGGATGGGGGTAGTACAATGTAAAAACACAAAATAAAATCATATATCTTTCTAAGTATTTATATAATATAAATAAATAAATAAATAAATGTGTGAACAAATATCCAAAATAAATTTATCTAGTTTTACCTTTAATTTACCCAAAATTTCCTTCCCTTCCATTGTTCTCTCTACTTCCTTTCATACTTTCATTGCCTAGTATTTTCCGTATTCCAACAAGACACTTTGAGGTCCTAAACTATGTTCTGAATTTAATTCCATGTACTAGGCCCTCTCATTCATTCTTGATGTTTGAAACGTCTAACTATGCAGGATATGGTGGTATTCAAACCCCAGATCCCAAACCCACCACAGCAACAGCAGATGCAACAGCAACACCCGCAGATTCAACAGTTGCAGCAGCAGATGCAACAGCAACAGCAACACCCGCAGATTCAACAGTTGCAGCAGCAGACACTCTCACATATGCAACAACTATCACAACTCATGCAGCAACTGCAGCAGCAGCAGATAACACAATTGCAACAATCACAACAGCAGCAGCAACAACAGACACTATCACATAGACAACACCAACAACAACCGCAACTCATACAGCAACTCCAGCAACTGCAGATAACACAATTGCAACAATCAGAACAGCAGCAACAAATGCAGCAGCAACCTCAGCAAGGGTATATGCAAGAGGGGTGCTCGCAGATGATGTCTCAGGGCAAGTATCATCACAAAGACTTCTAGACCTACCCACAAGCGGATTTATGAATTGATCCTTTTCACCCTGCAAGACAGGGTATGTATCTTCCATGTGCTTAGATCTGCTACGTGAAATTTGTGGGCATTATTATCTAATGTACTGGGAAAATTTGATATGAGGCTAACTTATTGTGGATTCCTTGGAGTACAATCAAGGGCATTTTCAAATATATGTTAATTTGCTTGAACATTGTGTTCAATTTTTGTGCAAGCCTCCTTCATTACTCTACCAACGGGAATACTAATGGAAATATTGTGCGTTTCTGCTCTCACGTTCATACATTTTTTACAAAGTACTGATTTCCTTCAATTATATGTAGTATATATATACGGAGAAATTTCTATAAAAATAGGAGGAAAAGGAATATAGAAACTTTGAGGTCCTAAACGTTTAGGACCTCAAAGTGCCTTGCTGAAAAAAGTCTTCCCTCCCTAAAAAAGTAAAAATCCCTGAAATCATACCGAATATTTTGGCAATATCAATATCAAATACTAATATGACAGGATGAGTGTCTTAATAGATACGTAGTAATATTTTTCAAGTATGGCAATAACTACTTCTATATAAAGAAAAATATGATACTCGTATTTTGTAGTATCAAGTTGTTTTTACTTTTATTTAGAGCAGTTTCAGTAGTATTGTAATTTGTACTTAATCTTATTTTTTATTTCATGCTATGAGTATTGGATATACTAGTATATTATTATAATTCAGGGTGAATTTAGGGGTATGCTAGCCTGGTTTTGAGTTGGTTCCCGTCCTCGATCTGACTGATCTTCCCATTAAGATGTTCCGATTGGGTGTGGTGTGTTGCGGTTTTATTAAATTTTTTATTATAAGTATTGAATTACGGTTTGCAACAATTAAGTAAATAATTGCATTGTTTTTTTTCAAATTTATAGATATTAATATATCAAATAATCAAAACATTACATTAGTACAATACTGGTGTAAAGCATTTTTTAATTTGAAAGGACATGATGTTTGAAAAGTTAAAAAAGGCTGAATTGATATCAATAATCCATATTTTTACACATTTTTCTAGTTTTGAATATATCGAAGCGAAAATATATAAGCATTAACAAGAGTAGTCTTCTTGTCCGGTATTTCATACAGGACCACCGTCCGGCCACCTCAATGAGAATTGATTGCGGGTAGAACTTTTTTATTAAATATTGTGAGCATATTCTCCATGGAGTGTAGATTACGTTAATCAAATTTCAACTAAGAAGTCAATCGCTAAGTTAGTTAAATAATTTTTTTTTTAAATAACTGTGTCAAAATATATATAAAAAAGCAGTTATTTTCAGATTTTATTAAACTGAGTCCCTGATTGAGGATGTTTTCTTTTGGACTGTTTTTAGTCCCAGACCACTCTTCCGTAGTTATAAAATACACAGAGATCAGACGTTTACCAGACCAAACGTTTATCAGACGTTTATAAAATCCATTGCTTCGAAGTGCATTTGTTTCTTTCTTTTTTAATTATGTATGTTTTTGTATTGTATAACTATTAATACTAGTTTGATATAGTTTATTTTTTTGTTTTTATTTTTCAATTACTATTTTTCTAATCAACAAAAATATTTTGGTAAGAACCGAAAAACTGAAATCGAATCGAAATAAACCGGACCGAACAAATCGTGGTTCCAAATTTTTGAACATAAACCCGAACCGAACCGAACTTTTAAATTTGGTTCGACATTTGGTTTTAGGTGAAAACCGAACCGTTTGAACCGAACACACCCCTAGTTACTAGTTCTTTAAAAGAGAAGTATTTTTTCCTTGTATTGAATTTATTTTGAGGCACAACGACTTTATTAGTGCCGTCATTGATGATCCTCTTATTTTGTTTTTGAGAGTTTAAAAAAAGTGGAACGGCCATTTTGGAAGGTTTTTGTGACTCTCCAAAACCTCTCAAATGCTCAATATTTAATTAAGTTCCCCCAAAAATCGGGAGGGGGTTGATGAATTATTAAATAAATGGTTATTTTAGCTCAATTTTAAATAAATATGGGTTCAATTATTTGAATTCGCCTTATCACAGAAGTAATTTTAATAATAATTCTTTCATAGACTCTCATTTCTAAATTTATTGCTCCCAATAAATAAGATGGGTTTCCCCACCTTATTTTTGCTTTCCCTTCCAACAACTTATTTTCAAAGCCGCTCCCTTCCCCTTTCCCTCTAACTCCCAAACATACCCTAATAGTCTAATGTATTCATATATTCATTTGTGTATACTCATTTCTTTTAAGCGATATATTCATTTGAGCATAGCATGAACTCCTTTAATATCCAAACAAGCACTATATGTAACAATGAGAAATATAATAATTTTAAGGCTAAAGGGTCAAATTGGCCCTTGAACTAGCTTAAAGTGTTCAATTAGCCCCTTATATAGGAGGTTCTGCCCGACCGTCGCCAATTGGGGCGGTTCCCGGTGGAATTTTTTAATGATTTTTTTTGAGAATCTTCTTCATTAAGTCTAGTTTACTAATAACAAATTTCAGCTAACTATTCAACCGGGAAGGAAGTCAAATGATTTTTTGGAGATAACTGCGCAGTTAAACATCGCAGTACATTTCGGAAAATCATTTGACTGCCTTCCCGGTTGAATTTTTAGCTGAAATTTTGTATGAGTAAACTAGACTTGATGAAGAAGATGCTCAAAAAATTTCATCAAAACATTCCACCGCAAACCGCCCCAATTGGCGACGGTCAGGCAGAACCTCCTATATAAGGGGCTAATTGAACACTTTAAGCTAGTTCAAGGGCCTATTTGACCCTTTAGCCTAATTTTAATTTTAAAAAAATATGATTTATCGTTCTTGTATTACAAATTTAACCGTGTTATTATTATAATGTTTATTACTCATGCAAATTTATTTTAAACAATATACTCATACTCATTTTATAATGCACATTTGTTTTTTAAAAGTTATACTCACTTAAGTATAACATGAAACTCATTTGTACTATTCACACACGTAATAATATATTCATTACATATCAAATTAATATAATTAGTTTCCCATAACTGAGCATATTTTATAAAATTACATCAATGCACATTTTTTAAACAATATATTCATAATTATTTCAAAGATTGAAGCTTTTTTGGCATGGAAATAGAGAGACAATCTAGTAGAAAATATAAATAATAAAAAAGGAGAAAAACAGAAGTAGAAGTTTAAAATGCATGAGAAGTGGAGAAGAAAAATATATATAAATATAACGGAAATGAAAAATGAAACAAAAGAAGAGCCGACCCCATGACGTTTAAAAGAAAAACAAGCAAGCAAGTCAAACAACTACTCTGATTAGTTCTCTAGTTTTGCAAACAATTACAAAATTATTCGGGGTCAAATGAATAAATGGTACCTTAAGTATTAGTAATGTTGCATTTTGGTATCTTAACTCTTAAATGAATCAAAACTGTACCGGCCTTAACTATACATAAATGTTTTGAATTGATATTTTATTCAAAGTTCCGACCAAAAAATTACATGTGACGGCCAGAATTCTGTGTAAAGTCTACTTCACCTTATTTTTGTCCATATGGCCACTATAGGATGACTCTACACATGAAATTATGATCACTATGATGGATTTTTTGGTCGAAAATTTGAATAAAATCTCAATTCGAAGCATTTATCTATAGTTAAGGTACCGTTTTGATTTGTTTAAGAGTTAAGGTACCAAAATGCAACATTACCAATATTTAAGGTATCATTTATGCATTTGACTCAAACTATCCGCTTTACCATCCCCATAATTCACGCGGTTGTATAATGTAATTTGGCAAGAGTAGGGGTGGGTCGGAGAAACCGAAAACCGAATCGAAAAAACCCGAACCGCAACCAAAACAACAGAACCGCAAGAAAACTGAAACCGAACCGAACCGTAGTTGTTTGGTTTCGGTTTTGGTTTGCACATCTCAAAACCGAACCAAACCGAATAAACCGAACTTTTTAAAACTGGTTATTTTATTTATTAATCGTTAAGTATAATATTTTGTTTAGTTCTTAATTCTAGAAAATTAATATTTGATACTAAATTTATTATGATTTGCAAGATATTGACATTTAATATTTATTGTTTAATTAAGTGAAACACTTGTACATACACTTAAGTCTATTGCAATAATACTAATATGTTGATATTTTACACTACACAAAAAATGACCTATAGAGGCAACCCCCCGAGGCAACTTATATTCCATTGTCCCTAAAAGTATGTTTTAGCATCATATAAGTTATGATTGACTCTAAAAACTATCATTTGAGACAATCATATTGTAGTTGCCCCTAAAAACTATCATTTGGGAGCAACCATATTGGACTTGCCTCTAAAAATATCATTTGGGAGCAACAAACTTTTCGTGCCTCCAAAAGTTTGACACGAAAGTATTACTGCCTCAAAACATGTGCTTCTAAAAGTTTCTTAAGGCAATAACACATGTGCGCCTCTAAAATATATATTTAATGTTAACTAAATTACGGTGCCTCTAAATGTGTGTATACACGTAATTGAATTTACGCAATAAACTTAATATTTTCTAACATGTTTACCGACATATTATTTTTAATTTTATTGGGGAGTAAATTTTACGGAGTAATATTTTTCGCTGCTCACCTTTAAATTTTCAATTTTCAATATTTATTTTTTTATTTTTAATTTTTTTTTTCATTTTTTACAAATAAGAAATAAAATATATCAATGATCAAAGTTATACTTATTAGCTTCTTTAAAAGGTTAATAAATGCAATTGAAAATATAAACATATTCTATTAAAAAAGAAAATAAGTATAATTTTTAACATTTTTGCCTCTCATCTCTTAAGCTTTTTTTGGAAGACCTCTTAAACTTTTAAACATTTTTAATTTTTGCTGCTTTCTGAGGATGTTTTCTTTTGGACTGAAATTTGCTGGTCTGGTCTGGTCTGGTAAACGTCTGGCCTCTGTGTATTTTATAACTATGGAAGTCTGGTCTGGTCTGATCTGGTCTGGTCTGGTTTGTTTAAATCTGGTCTGATCTGGGACTGAAAACGGTCATTTTAACCTCCGGCTTCTTCCCCTTAACCCTATGCACGTTTTCCTTTCCTTGAATTTTTATCTTTTGCCGCTAAACACTTTTAGGGGAGTATTCATTTTTGCCGCCCAATGATTTCAACCTCCCGCTTCTTTCCCCTTAACCCTACGCACATTTTCTTTTCCGATGCTCTCTTCATCCGGCAAATACCACGAGAGTGAAATGCAGCTGTAAAGGAATTTGAGACTCAATCGGCCAGAAAAGCTAAGGACACCCAATCAACGAGATGAGCGACTCAGTTCGGCCAGAGCACTTCAATCAGCGATTCAGCTAACGGTGGTTGCTGGGCCGATGTTCCTCCTCCTTCGAGCTTCATATTGTTGCTCTTCTCTTTCAAGCTTCATCATCTCATTCTGATTTTATTCTCTACTTCGCATCTTTAACAGGTCAGTAATATCTATCCTTAATTTCATTATCTCTTTGTTTAAATGTCAGGATAAAACCTAAACATGTATGATTTGGGTACTATACACCCTATATGGTTCTTGCATCCGCTGCTATGATTATTCCCGCCGCAGCTGAGTCTCCTTCACTCGACTACATCGATTGAAGCCCTCATCCCTCGAAGTTTGAAGATCTCAATCGATCCCCTTTCCACAAAGTCATACGTCTTGCCGCCACCTTAGCTTCTGGCGCCAGCTACCTCGCCCTCCTTGTGGTATATTTTCTAGGTTAGATTATTTCCTTATTTATTCTTTTTCTAGCATACATTAGGAGGGGTTTGATTCTAAATTGACAGTTTTTTAAAGTCCTAGAAGTTTATCCATACGCTTCGTGCAAGAGTTCGTGTGAGGGACCAAAGATAAGAAATCCTGAGACACTCCCATTCTTAAATAATGGTTCTGGCAGAAAAAACAGAAATGCTCTTGTTGCAGATCTTGTAGCCAGTCCAGACAAGCTCAAGTGAACCTCTTGGAAATGTAGAACCTTTAATTTTTTTAGTAGTATCTAGCTTGTGCTGCAGATTGAGCACCAATGAATTGGAGAATCTTTCATGTTACTTTTGGCAAGCATTTGAATTGCTTTATGTTTTACTCTGTATCTTGTTCTTATAAAAGAATCAGGTCCTATGTGATATATTTTCCCTGTAGGTGTAATCTTTTGTATATGCCTAGGATGGAGCTAAATCGTGCAACGTTGTAAATTTGAAGATGAAGGTCAGGTGGCATCTTGGACTGAAATTCCTACTTCAGTGGCCCTTCCTTTTGGAGTTATTGAAAAGTTCTTCCAGACATTATTAATCAGGTAATGTACTATTTGAAAGCTGCTGTAATTTTTCTTTCTGCTATTTTTTCAGTTTATAAACTTATATAATGTGTTTAAATCTAACATATTTTTTAGGGGGTTGGTCTCCCCCTTCTCCTTCAAGCCTCGTCATCTCATCCGATCCTGATCTGGTTTTCTACACAAGCTTTTTTCATCTGGTTAGGAATATTAATCCTAAAATTCATCATCTGGTTGTTTGAATGTTTGCATAAATACTGAATTTCTAGGATTGGGTCAGTTTTGACTTTAATTTGATTAGTTGATTTCAAGGTTTGATATGCACTGTGCTGGGCAAACACCCTTTCTGGAACCAAGCATTGTTTGTCAATTATTAATTTTGAATAAAATTTACGAGACAATTGTAAGTCGGATACCAGTTGACTTTTAACATGGATCCTTTCATTTTTCTTTCGTATATCAATATAGTACTGATTATTTAAATTTTAATTTTTTATTTTTTATTTTTCAATCTCTATAATGACTAGAGATTTATGTGTCATTGTATTGCCTGAGCATGAGTGTTTCCGTTTTAAAGGGATGACCCTCGCTCACAGCCTTACATGCACATGAATAAATACATACTAATAGGTAACTAGCTATTTCAGAGTAATTCAAGAATGTAAGGATTAAAGAAATGAGCTAACAGTCTTAGGAAGGAAGTCGTTACAGAACAGAGAAAGTCAAAGGCAGTTAAAGATTGCCAACTTTCCAGTCCCAGTACAACAAGATAATACTAGCGTACCCCCTTTACAACTATAGCTACTTATTTATAGTATCCCTCCCGTCCCCTTTTACATCTCAACAACTACTTGATATTCCCCTTCCCTCTCATAGAGTAGTACACTTTGCTATAGTAACTAATATTACTATGATTATTAGTTAAAGAATCTAAATCTGTATTCTCTTGCCTGTATAAGCTTCTTCATCTTCACCAAAACTATAGGCTTGTTTACTTGTAGGCTAACACATCATTGAATTCTTGGGTTAAAATGTGCTTGTTTAGAAAGCTAGTTTTATTTTATAGGATTTTTTAGTATGAGAAATGGGAATCGCATTGTACATGTATTGGATTTAGGGGACAGACTAGCTAGTTTTACTTTATAGGAGTTTGTTTTTGCACGAACCAGTAATGCTTTTTGTGCAGCTTTCACATTCTCAGGGCATCCTTGCCACGTCTTCAAGACATTGTTTTTTATTCAGGTTCAATGTTGCATCCACTTTAAATTGTCCTGACAACAACATGATCCTAGAAACAGCAGGAAGGACTCTCCTTTTCGGTGTAGTGAATGTACTTGGCAATGGTATCTGGGGAAGCCTTCTCTTTTGTTCAGCCCCCAGGGTAACCATGCTAGGTTTAAGTAGAACTCCTTGAAGAAAATATTGTCTTCAGCCATATATTATAAAATCTTTGCCCATACTCGCTCTGCAACCTGAAGAGTTCTTTCTATAGGATGGTCCTCATGAAGAAGAATCTGTAGGATTGACTAATCCTGGGGCTAGTCAAGGAGATGTATAACATAATCCTGATTTTTTTTGTTCTATTTGGTTTTTAACGGATTATTTATTAAACCTTGTTTGTATGCTAGTTGCAGGTGCAAATCATTTTAAGTTACAGTAACTACCTAGTGTTTATCAGATTGGTGGTTAAAGTCACACTAGCTGCATAGTGTTGCATACATGTATAATTTTTTGTTGGTATGCTCATTGCATATAACTTTTTTTTGCAGTAAAAAATGGAGAAACTTGTAGAGCAACATGAGATAGGAGATGATGAAGATGTCCTTCTATTACATCATTGTTGGGATCTTTTAGTGAAGGAGAGAAGTTGCGTAAAGAGGCCGAAAAGGCCTAGAAAGAAGCAAATGAAGCTAATGAGAAAAATAAAATGCTGACTAAGGTGGTGAACAATTTTAAAAATGAAGTCCGAGTTATGAAAGGTGTTATGGAAAAAGTCTTTAACCTTATGGGCAATGATTTTTCTAAGTTGATTGCGAAGGAGGTATTGCAACATATTTTAATTCATTATTTTCTATTAATAACTTTTTAAAGTTAAAAATACTTATATAATTAAAAATATTTAATTTCAAAATGACAGGTTGGCAAGGAGCATACTAAAGAGAGAAGCGATGAGGATGGTGATGAGAAAGAGGAGCATGATGATTATGATGATTATGAATGATCTCTCTAGATTAATATGTTGTCTTTAAACTTTTATTCGCTCTAGTTAGTTTTGTTTGACACAGTATTTCAGATAGATTAGATTGAACAAATATATGTAGTTAGGACATTTAGTTATCCGATGAATATTCAAATTGGTATAATGTGTTACATTATTTGTGGTATTTATGTTGAATGTTAGTGTATTTTCACTATTTTAGAAAGTATAAGGGAATTAGGTATCTATAATTATTATATCAATGCAACGTAATATAATAGCCATTAAATTAGTATTGTTTAGTCAAAATAAAGTGACTGCCTCTAATGACATTATGAGTCAACAGAATGCACTTGCATCTAATGACCTTTTGAGTTGACATAAGATGGTGGCCTCTAATGATATTTTGAGGCTAAAGACTATGGTTGCTTCTAAATGTATCTTTTTGGAAGCACAACTTCATTTGCCTCTAAAGAGTGTTTTTAGAGGCAACCATCATTTTGCGACGGATTCTTTGTTGGCAACCACTAAATTGCCCCCAAAGAGCATTAGAGGCTATTTTACTATTTTTAGAGGCAATTTTGCTATGCCTCTATAAATCAATTTTATTGTAGTGTTAAATCGTAATTTACATTTTGCTTGTTGTTGCATCACAATGATATTTTTTGATATATTATATGTTATGTGTATATGTTTGTTATCAAATAGTTTTTTATATTGAACAAATAAGTATTAATATAATCTATACTTTAATTAACATAGCAGAAACCGTGAAGCTTTAGAGCGTAAACATCGTTGCCTAAAAAGAAAGTAGAATAAGTTATTCACTAATAAGTTTTAACTTGCGAATACATTGTATATAATACACAAATAAACTCACGCATTTAATTAATGTAGACAAATCAGTATACACGTACTCTCTAACTCATTGCTTGGAAGTGCATTTGTTTCTTCTCGTTTGGTTTAATTATGTATGTTTTTGTATTGTATAACCATTAATGCTAGTTTGATATAGTTTTTTTTGTTTTCCAACTACTATTTTTCTAACCAACAAAAATATTTTGATAAAAACCGAAAAAACCGAAACCGAACCGAATAAACCGAACTGAACAAACCGTGGTTCCAAATCTTTGAACATAAAACCGAACCGAACCGAACTTTTTACTTTGGTTCGACATTTGGTTTTATGTGAAAATCGAACCGTTTGAACCGAACCCACCCCTAGGCAAGAGATGTTCATGCTATTGGTGTTTTTAATCATTTTATAGGTGTTGTTATCCTTAATCTAAAATACTTCGTACGTAGTAGTTAATTACTTTCTGCTACATGTGTGGGGCATTTACAAAGCAAAAAATATTTTGCATCACCAGTTGGTGCTCTCATCAGTTCCGCATGTTCCATCAGTTTCTCTTGCTGCCTCTCTAGCTGCATGTTCCAAATCTCCAAACTTGTCTACCTAATTCTGTTTCCCAGGAAAGCAATGAAATTGTGAGGGATTAAAAGGAAATGGGCGACCATTGCATGGAGTTTCACAGCCAGTAAGTCCGCCTGCTAGCTGCTTCTGCTTCTGCTACCCATGTGAGTATTGTGAATGACATTATTTTTTCTTACTATCTGTATTCTACGGATCCATATTAATATGCATTTTTTATATATATTATGATACATAGTTTTACGCATAGTACTAATAATTTTTTTGAAAATTTAGAGTCCCTTTAATTGGTGGGTCGTGTTATGTAGAACTGGTTTAACCTGTTCTCAGCGGTGGAGCTCCGGTGCTCTCAATCATGATATCCGGTGGGATGACATCCTCCTCCATTTCCACACCTCAAATTGTTACGTCGTCTAGGCAAAGCTCTGCACCTCCCGAACCCACAAGAACTCTTGTACCTTCTGGTCAAGAAGGGCAACAGGGGATTCGGCCGCAACTGCTGAATAGTAGCAATTCAGCAATGGCTAAGCGGAATCCCCCACAACAATCATCTAAGTCACAATATGTCAAAGTCTGGGAGGTACATTACTTTTTTCATCCCATCACAAGTATTCACGTTTCATTGCATTTTTTGGAGTTATATATGTGAACGGATTAAGTTTTTTTGCCCATATTCCACTTTATAAATTTGATATCTTGCACAGTGGGGTACATAGTTTCAAATTGTGAACCGCAACACCCGTTGGGGCCTCCATATTGTGGTTAAGGTTCGCAGCACAATTGCATCACATGGCAATAGTGGTGTTTATTGAATTCACGGCTAAAATCGCAATCGTAACACAAGTCAAAAGACTCATAACCGCAACACAATTTTTTCCCCTGGGAAAGTAAACTTTCTTCGATCACAATACGCATCTCAGTGGATGCAATCGTTGCGTCCGACAACCGCAAAGACCACAACCTTTACAGCAACCGCAACCGCAATTTAACAACCATGTTGGGTACATGTTTTTTTTTTGCAGGGAAACTTGTATGGAAAACGACATGGACAACCCGCATTCATCACCAGACTAGAGGTATCTTTTCGCTTAACCTGTGAATTTCTGTGTTCTTTAATGGGAGAACTATCAAATAAGCTCTCGAACTTACATAAAAAGTACAAATTATCCCTTTTATATGAGGCTTTGTCCGGCCGTCACCATTTGGGGCGGTTCCCAGTGGAATTTTTTTATGACATTTTGTGAGAATCCTATTCATTAAGTCTAATTTACACCAATGTTCTAAAAGGCGCTAGGCGCTAGTCGGGCGCCAGCCCAGTGCCTAGCGCCTAGGCGGCTAGGCAGGCGCCTAGTCGGGGATTAGTCGGAGACATAGAAATTACATTTTTATCTATATTTTTGCATAAATATGATAAGTAATATTGTATTTTAGTGCGTATAAAATACATATATACATATACAATAACAAACATGAAAGATAGAATTATCACATTTAATCATAAGTAGTATATGATAGTCAATCACTTAACTTCATTATGTTATAAATATAAATAATGATAAAATTTAGGTATATATACAAACATGTATAGTTTTATCTTAATTTACAACTTCATTTCTTTATATTCATAGCTAAAGTTAAAGTATGTATATCGCTTGGAAAATTAAAATTAAGAAGTAAAGTAATGTTCGGCGAATCTAGACGGCCTTGGCGGCCGATTAGGCGCTCTAGGCGGGCAACTAAGCGCCATAGGCGACCGACTAATTCACTTAGATGGAAAACCAATTAGTCGGAGCGCCTAGACGAAAATCGGGGCGTCCGGCCTCCGCCTAGCGCCTAGGCGGGGACTAGTCGGGCGCCTAGAACGATTTTTAGAACAGAGATTTACACATACCAAATTTCAGATAAAAATTCAATCAGGAAGGCATTCAAAAGAATTTTCGAAGATAAGTCCGCAGGTAAATTGCGCAATATATTTCAGAAAATCATTTGACTGCCTTTCCGATTGAATGTTTAGCTTAAATTTAGTATGGATAAACTAGACTTAATGAAGAAAATTCTCAAAAAAATCATAAAATAATTCCACCGGAAAAGGGATGATTTGCATTTTTTTATGTAAGTTCGAGGGTTTAATTTATTTGGTAGTTCTCCCTTCTTTAATTAATCATCTTTAAAATAGCTTCTTTCATAGTGTTTAGATGTTATTCTTTTGCACATGATTTACTTTGACAGGGATATAGGAGTCCACCAGCATCTGAAACGTAAGTGTACAGATTTATAAATTCTCGTGGATGTTACCCTTTACCAAGAATCAGTGAGAACCTTCTAACTATTTGGATTGGTTTTTTAATTTAGAGCCTGTTTAGTAATACTCAAATCGACTGCATTGGTTGATTCTGATGAAATTTATGAAGTTCTGGCTGAAGTGGTTGGATTGGCTGATTCTGTTAATTTATATAAAAAATTAAAATATATTTTATTAATAAAATAAGGAAAAAATATATACTCCGTATGAAAAAATAGTTAAAATGATCATCTACAATAACTTTAGTCATTACAGCCAGAAAAGTAACTTTAACTTTACTTTTTCTTATTATTACACAATTCACCACACGAACTCAAAAGTTACGTGTTTGGTGAAAAAATTGGTTTATCAACCGAAAAACAGGGTTACCAAACGGGCTCTTAGAGTGATAAGCTTTGTAAGTGCAGCTTGGTGTTGCCTTTCACTATAAATAAACTTTCAGCCCGTTTGGTAATACATAAATCGACTATATTGGTTGATTCTGCTCAAATTTATGAAGTTTTGACGGATCACAATTCAGCGCGCGAAATGAAAGTTATATATTTGAATTGATTTTTTTTACCATCTCTTTCTTAGGGTTGGTGCAGATTGGCCTGAAACCATGCAAATAGTAGGACTTTTTTCCATGGATCATCTATCTTAATATAATAACAAAAGGTTTCTTGGGTAGGAAGTTGCCGCCAAAACACAATGAGTCATTCCTTTAGTGTCAATCCTCTTGGTTTCGTATAGCTTCTCAATATTTTGGAAAATAACTCTTCGCACATGGATGTATAGTTAATTTAATGTTGTATAACACATTGCTTCTAGGCTTCGATTCTCAATAATGCATGTTTCAACCTTTTCATATTCCACCGGTAATAAGCACTCATCTTCACAGTTGATTTTTTTAATCTGTAAGTCGTTTTAGTTTCTCAATGTGGAAAATAACTCTTCGCACGTGGATGTATAGTAAATTTAATGTTGTATAACACGTTGCTTCTAGGCTTCGATTCTCAATAATGCATGTTTCAACCTTTTCATATTCCACCGGTAATAAACACTCATCTTCACAGTTGATTTTTTTTAATCTGTAAGTCGTTTTAGTTTCTCGATGCACTCTGTATATTTTTTCATTTCTCAATGTATGCATGACCCCAAGGGATTGTTGAAGACGTGTTGGTTAAAGTGGACAAATTTATTTTTCCGGTGGACTTTGTTATTTTGGACATGGATCAGGATCGGGAGGTACCATTGATATTGGGCAGACCATTTTTGGCAACTGCCAAAGCACTTATTGATGTTGGAGACGGTAAACTTGTATGAACAATAGGTAAACCCTTTTATATTTCGATAATTCGATTGTGGCATTTTCATATCTTAACCCATTTATGAATATGTGTTATTACATTATACCTTGACTATATTAGTCTCGCCATTAATTTTTATTTTATTTTTTATGACAGGCAATATGTTGGGAAAGCAGATTTTATAGTTTTTCGGACCATGAACGAGCATGGTTTTCTTTATCAACTACAAGAAAGAAAGCTTGTAAGTATTTTACGTAGTATATTTTTATTGATCAGACTTGCTTATATAAGATCGATTCAAAAATGAAAAGATTATTTTGTCACTATAAATCTTATGTCCTCTAATCTCAAGGATTAAGGTGCTGATAATGATGTGTTATTTTATTGAATGGCTATTGTTTCTAGTGTGCAGTCAATCCAGTCATTCAATTGCCCTCACAGACACTATTGCTCTCAGTTGTTTCTGACAAAGTTTGCTGCATGATGGGGATGCTTTTTCCAGGGGAAAGGTTTATCTTTGAAACTTAACGGTATGTCCTGAATCATGGAAACTGTTAGGTAAAAGACAGAAAATGAGGAAATTATTTCAAAATAGAATTGTCATATTTTTGTTCTCAAAATATGCATAATTATTGTCAAGTTTGGAAAATATTGTCATATTTAAAGTATGGTACTGCCAAAACGTAGCAGTGATTAATCATATGTAGTATTGAGAATAAAAACATGAAAGTTTTATTTTGAATGATACAAACGTTTTTAGTCCTATTTGTGGTGATTTCTCTAGAAAATGTCAATGAAAGTCAAATTTTTTGTTTGGCTTTGGTTTCAAACTTGCAAAGAAAAATGAAAATTCCTTCCATCTCTCAGTTCCACCAAACGTTGATTCCTATACCCCGATCCGACAAAGTTAATGGGAGATTGTAAACCATGGTGATTCAATTAAGTCCTAGTGATAGTAGACCTTATACTCGTACACACCGGAGGTTCAACCCAACACATAGGGGCCATGACCTTCTGTCCAGGGGCGGAACCATGACTTTTTGTCCAGGGGCGGAGCCATGATACTGGGCCGGTACAAAGAACATTTTTATGAAAAAATTTACACGAAATGTTTTACCATAAAAATTAAGGCATTCTTTAAATTTGGAGTGGGTCAAGGACAAGGCCTAGATTGGCCCCCTCTAACTCCGCCCCGACTTTCACGCAGCTGCTACGGACTTTGATCCTTGATCATTCTTTCAAACTTGGGTCAACGTCTAAGTTGGTCCCTCTAACTCCGCTTTACCGATTGAGTTATTTGGGGCGGATTCCTTCCATTCCTCGTATAACCCTTGATGACATGGAGAGCTCATGACATGATAATTCAATCAAATATTCTTCCGATAATCTTCTAGAGAACACACTTCGAACTATTTTTATATAAAAGTATGCACTAAGCTACTAGAAATTCAACGGTGTAAATATTTTCAAATGTGTATTTATAAGATTGGAATATACGAAGTAAACACTTATGGTTGATTAGGTGACGTTTGTGTTTCTTGATTTGTGCCGTATGCTAAAGTGAGACGAAGATAAATACTGTTTGAAATCAGTTCGTATACCATGCAACCGTCCCACGGTGCGCATGGTATACCTGGGAGAGCGAAGAAGCAGTACGTATATTTTGGCTTTGTTATTTTGTATTTCTCCTTTTTTAAAAAATGTTAATAATTTTTTTATTTTTGATCCAATTTTTATAAAATTTATACCAAAATTTTTTATTTTTCATGATCTTTCAAATGAGACCAATATTGCCTATGTAATTTTAACATATTAACATTTGCGTGTAAAAATATGTAACTTTACATGTTAAAATATGTAACTCACGTTCAGTCAGGCCAAATGCAACTCGTGTGTATAAATATGTAACTCTACGTGTAAAAATATGTAACTTTACGTAAAAAATATGTAACTCGCGTTGAGACAGGTCAAATGCAACTCGTGTATATAAATATGTAACTCGCGTGTATAAATATGTAATTTCACGTGTAAAAATATGTAACTTTACGTGTAAATATATGTAACTCGCGTTCAGGCAGGTCAAATGCAACTCATGTGTATATATATGTAACTCGCGTGTAGAAATATGTAACTTTACGTGTAAAAATATGTAACTCACATGTATAAATACATAATACAATAAATTTTTTATATACACAATTGGAATCGAGTCCCTCCGTCCCGCAAAATAGTTTACATGAATAAGCATTTTACTCATATTTTCTCCCTTCAACTGGAATCACAGAGATCAATTTAGTCTTGGGCAGATGGTATTGAATCTGCGAATGGAGTAGATCTGATTGGGATGGAGATTTATAGGTTTGTTGTTATGTTTACTGATTTCCTCGTGAATCAACAAGCATAAATTTCCATGCGATTACGAAGCAGAGCAACTAACATAGAATCCGACACAGTGTTCCCATAAAAAAATTACTGGGAGTAAGGACGTTTAAAACAGAGCATATGCGCAGCGCAATTCCAGATTTGAGTGGCGTAGGAGGTGTGCGATTTTTTTAATATAAAAACGGCACCGTTTTGGTATCGGTACACCATGCTCACGGTGCACCGATCCCACGGTATAATTTGCCGTTTGAAATCCTTAAGGTCCTATGCCCCTGTTTGGTTGGAGAGTTTCACAAAGAAAGTGTAGAAGTCGGAGGAAGGGGTGGAAACGGAGGCCTTCCATAATCTTCTCATTCTCAACCCCACAAACCGGGATATATCGGAGGAAAGGTATCATTACGGCATGAATAAAAATGTTGTAATGCGTAACAAATCTTTTAAAAAGTTAAAAATCAGAAAGTTTTAAAATTAAAAATTAAAAAAGTGAAATATTAAAAGATTAGACAAGGAAAAATTGAAAAACTAAAAAATTGGAAAATTGACAAACCCAAAAATTGTAAATTTGAAAAACCAAAATAAACCAAAAAATTGAAAAGTTGAAAACTGGAAAACTGAAAATTTTAATATTCAAAATTTTAAAAACTGAAAAACTGAAAATTGAAATGGAAAAATTGAATATATATATATAAATATATATATATATATATATATATATATATATATATATATAATACGACTTATGAACTTAGGTAGTAATATTCATAATTGTTATATTTATCTAGCTTTACGAAACATACTATCAAATAAGGGTAAATTAGGAAATATAACTTATTTCCAATTAAGTTATATATATATGAGGCTACATATTTTAGCAAAATTATTAATTTTAGATAGATTAAAAATATATATTCCGTAATTAAATTATACTCGGTAGCATATTCTAAATAAGATATTAGGGTGCATATTTCAGTTCGTTACATTTGTGGCATATTCTACGGAGCTGTAGAATATTAGTATTAGGGTGCATATTGGCAAAATGTTTAAGGTAGATTCTATGGTACCCCCTTAAGGTACCATAACTTTGTCCACAAGGATCAATAGGAATGATGCAGTTGAATTAATTAAATCTAAATTAAAAAGAATAGAATGATTTGGACCAATCAAATGCATGGTAACCTGATAGGTACGGTACCCCAATTTTTAAAAAGGTATCGGAGTCGTCACCAATGTTTAAAGTGCATAAGCTATACGGAGTAGTATTTATACAGTGACACTTTATAATTAGGTGGTTATAAATGCATTTCGCACCTTTGTCCATATAGTATGTTAAGACTTTTTTTATTTGATCCTAACTCTCTAGGTCATGCCAATAAAGTACATATGTGTGGATTACATTGTTTTTTTAAATTTATGAATTTGTAATATGACATGCATTTCTTGACATTAAAACATACGGAGTATGTAGTATGTTATGTTATTCATTGAAATTTTGTTTAATTGAAGTTGAATTTGTTTACTTTGATATTAGTACCTCATCTGTATGATGATTTTATGATATAGACATTTTGCAAAAATAAGTTGATTTTTTATTATAAATTTTTATTTTGCATTTTGTTATTAATTTTTTTAACAAAGCATTCCTTCATCCATTGGGTAAAATACTAGCATTTTGTAATAATAACTTGGCGGAGGTTATAAATTTTTTATTTTGCATTTTCTAATTAATATTCTTGAATAAAGTACTCCTCCCGTGCATCGCACGGGTAATATACTAGTATATATATATAATACGACTTATGAACTTAGGTAGTAATATTCATAATTGTTATATTTATCTAGCTTTACGAAACATACTATCAAATAAGGGTAAATTAGGAAATATAACTTATTTCCAATTTTTTGAAACGAGACACAAATGTTTATGAAAATCATTCCTTCTCCTTCCCTCTCTAGCCTATTTGGCTCTCCCCTTCCCTCCCCTCCCTTGAACCAAACAGGGCCTAAAGGTGCTTCTGTGCATTGGTGATGAAAATGAGTCTGAATGCATCGAGGCAAAAATACCAAGGACAAAATGATTTTTGGATAATTCATAGGACTGAACCATTACTTTATAATGACAAAGAATGTTCATGATAATATTGGCATTTTGCTTGATGAGATCACATTTACATTCATACAGGCGGTCTACATATAGCAGTGTATGGTGACCATTCAAATGTAGCCCGCCAACAGCACCCAATGTGGATTTTGGGGAGTACAACAGCCACCTGACATAGAATAAAAGATACTCCCTCCGTCCCTTTTAAATGTCCCGTTTTACCATATTGGGATGTCCCTATTTAATTGTCTCATACCTTATTTGGTAAACTTTGTGTCGCTCAAAATCATTCTTACTTTATTCTTACTTTATCAATTAATATCAACCACACAAACTCACTTTTCTTAAAACCCGTGCCACTATCTCCCGTCCCATTTAAAAGGGGACGGAGGGAGTACCTACTAAATAAACTTTTTAAAAATGGTTTTTACTGCATTTGCTATTTGTTAGCATGTTTCAATATTTGTACGCAAGAACCAATGCTTTGGAATCGTAACGGCTTATCTTTATTTTTATTGCATCATCCTTATTTGTAGTTTGACCCCAAACTCTTTTGGGATTAAGGATTCGATGTTGTTGTCGTCGTTATATTGTCGTATCCTTTTCCCTTGTGAAGTAATCCGTACATTGAATTTTGAAAACCTAATAGTTATTTATTGCATTGTCTTTTTTTCTTGTAAACTGATCACATTTAAGCGAAATTGTTTTGATGGAAAATAGCCCCTAGAGAATATCACTCCCTCCTTTTTAGGTGCAGCATTAACACTGAAATCTATTTACTTGATGTTTGAAACATCAAACTCTGCACGATATGGTAATATTCAAACCCCATATCCCAAACCCGCAACACTGGCAATAGATCATGCAACAACAACATCAACACCTTCAGCTTCAACAGTTGCAACAACACCTAGCCACCAAACACTCACGTCTGCAGCAACAACCGCAACTCATGCATGAACTACATAAGGTGTAAATAACACACTTGAAAAATCACAACACATGCAGAAAATGAAGCAAACGTATTTGACAAGGGGTAGTCGAAGATGATGTCTCAAGGGAAAGAAAGTATCATGCCCCGAGTAAGAGGGCTGAAATTGCTCCCATGGAGTTTCGCACCCAGGACTTTCCATATGAGTGAGTCGATGACCAGTGAGCTGGATCGCTTCCTCGATTATCTAATGAATTGAGCAAATTTGATCTAAGACTAAACTACAGTGCATTCCTCAGAGTACAAATCAAGGGCATATATAATATGTGCTTAATTTGCTTGATCATTGTGTTCCTTCCTCTCCACCAACGAAATATTGTTCTTTTCATCTGGTATATGTACATATTTATTGACAAAGTATAGGTTTAAATAGAGTATATATAGGAAAAATTGATAACAATAATCACACATTTTACTAATTTTTTTAAGAATAATTACACATTTAACCGTAGACACTTTTATACTCCTTTTTCATCTTCTTGTATAGTTGTATGTTTTGATTGCTTTTGCATATTTATGTATTCTATTTCCCACTCTATTAGAAGAGTTTGTGTAAAATTCATTCGCATGTAGATTTTTTTACTTTTTCTTCTTCTTCTTCTTGTATTTTTATTTCATTTTCCTTTTTATGCATTTCTCTTCTAATTCATTCTATTTTCATGAAAGATCTTTACATACCATCGTATTTTTGAGTAAGTACCCATTAAACGTTGTCCACCCTTCTCAAAGTTGTCCCATGAAACGTCTCCGCGGAACCTTCCTTCCACACTTTCCCACCAATTGGAAGCTACCTGTAACACTTGAGATTTAATATAAACGGATTAATAGTACTACTCATACCAACAGAGGTGCATCTCCTTTTAAGGGAGCTCATCACCCAAGAACTCCAAAGTTAAGCGTGCTTGCACGGGAGTAGTCTTGGGATGGGTGATCCCCTGGGAAGTTTCTCAGGGCGCGCATGAGTGAGGACAAAGTGCGCGGTAAAGGCTCGTGGTGGTTTGTGGGGACAGTACTAGAGGTCTGAAGTAACTACCTCGGATCTCACGGGGTCGGGGTGTTACAGGTGGTATCAGAGCAACCCCGCGACAGTGTGATGACCCGTTTGATATCGGGCGGGCACTTAGCGGGGGAAGATTTCTGGGATTTGATTGAGATTTGACATTAGTTCAAGGGCGCAACGAGGACGTTGCGATCCTAAGTGGGGGTGATTGTAACACTTGAGATTTAATATAAACGGATTAATAGTACTACTCATACCAACAGAGGTGCATCTCCTTTTAAGGGAGCTCATCACCCAAGAACTCCAAAGTTAAGCGTGCTTGCACGGGAGTAGTCTTGGGATGGGTGACCCCCTGGGAAGTTTCTCAGGGCGCGCATGAGTGAGGACAAAGTGCGCGGTAAAGGCTCGTGGTGGTTTGTGGGGACAGTACTAGAGGTCTGAAGTAACTACCTCGGATCTCACGGGGTCGGGGTGTTACACTACCCCCTCGAGCAAACGTGAAGCAAAATATAGCTTCACATCGAGTCTGATTTGCATATCCCTAGCTTTATCTTTGAGATTCTTTATCCAATCGGCAATCACGATAATGTTCCCGGTGCCGTCAAATGATTTACATCCTAAAGCCCTGACCTCTTTGAGGTACTTGGAGATTCTAACACATAAATCTCCTCCATGTTCACCTTGGGACATCCCAAAAACAGCCCTAGAAGCTCCCCGCCTTCCATGCCCGAGCCTCCTTGGGAGGCACGCATAGCTTGGTGCCTAAGCTCCCCCCCCCCCCCCTTCATTTCTCCATTTGGTACCATTCAAGTACCTCTCCCATTTGATTGAAATTGGCATCGTCTTCTTCATCGTCAGTGTTAAATCACCCCCATCATATGGAGTCTCCTCATGTCCCATCTCGAAAACATAAGTCTCATCTTCTTCCCGACCTGGTGTTCGTATCATACACCAAGCTAACATGGCCATTGCTCACAGTTCGGGCTAGGCGACCCCAGGACCCCTTCCTCTACCTCTAGAGGCTCGCAACCCCACCCGACTAGCCCCAATGGAGCCTCCTGGTGCTTGTTCCCGTGGCTTGTTCCTGATTCTCATGCGCCCACCCTCCATTTCTGCAAGAAAATTTGGATGAGTCGTTAGACTCTTATCAATGTCAATTGATGGAATAGTAATTATAGTACTATAGACACTCATTGGCATAGACCGCCGTCATACCAATTGTTAAGGGTACCATCTTAACAAATAGAGACATTGCAACTTGAGTACCAATAGCTTTATAAGTACCAAAATTCATTGCTCATGGTTTAGGTAAACTCTTTTTGTACAAACAATTGTGAGAGATTGATTACATAATTTAGAAACCGAGATGGCTCTGATACCACTTAATTGTCACGCCCCAGACCGAAACCTTAATCAAGTGATGTCACCCTCAGGTCACCCTCACTTGATTATACAAGGTGTTCATGAACATAGTTCATATATATAATACTCAGTAAGTAAACATGCATACATAACAACATCATTGAATCAAATGAATAGCAAAAATATTCATTGTTAAATCATGGGCCACATCCGGCCGAAACACGGGCTCGCAGGCCCAAAGTAAAGTATTTCAAACACAAATGTCCGTGAGCATTGTTTATAATTTCAAATCAGTGAAGGAAGCACGAATGACATCTTCCTTGAGAGCACTTCACCCGTGTAAAGTTGCGGGTAACAAACTCTAGCTTCAACGCTAAATGTAGATGTAGAATAACTTATGTCTCAAGTATAAGACTCAAACATAGAGTGATACATAAACATATAGTTCTCCCCCAAGTCTTTAAATACATATAAGTATATACACTTAGGAAATACTCGACCCGTATATAGGTCATTTGTTTAGTTGGAAAAATCATAGTAGTCTTAGTTCTTGACTTATTAATCCCAAACCCACCCAAATACGAAATACCTATGAGTGTATAGGTATTTGGTTACTAACCCGTATGCAATGAGTTTTGAGGATTAATCCTGTCCCTGGGTACTCCACCATTTATATTCCGAATTTTGATGACAATCTCGTCCCTTGGTACTCCACCAATTATATTTCGAGTTTTGAGGACAATCCCATCCTTGGGTACTCCACCAATTATATTCCATGTTTTGAGGACAATCATGTCCTTGGGTACTCCACCGTATCCTTGGGACGATTACCCGCACTTTGATGTAATATTGGCAGGGGTATGCCCCCGTAGATTCTATAATCTTTTTTAAATGAGTTAACATGTACATTTTACCCGCAGATAGGGTCTATATCATATCATCACTAACGACTAATCCAAGCCTTAACAATTAAACAACATATTCCATGCAAAATATACATATATAGACTGACCGGTGTTGATTTTACCTTAGAACGGCACCGATTCCCATTTTTCTCAAAAACCAAACCTGAAACCCGAGACCGAACCGGCGCCGGTCAACGCCCCTACACTCGGTCAACGCTTCGTTGGCCACCCGAATCAACTTTGATTGCTACGAAACTTAAACACGTGTAATGAGTCATAAACAAATAATATATGCCACTTTGGCCATTCAAGACATCACATATGTTTGTATATGCATTTTAAACCATTTACATGCATATTCCATTAGTTTAATTCATATAAGCCCAATCACCTAGGCTAATCACATGTTTAAACTCTTTTAAACATCATTATAAACACATATCATATTTCTTTAGGTAATATTATACTTGACCCAAAATTTATAAGACATTAAGCCGTCAACTCACCTCAAATGAGCATTAAGAAGTTCTACCCTCTTTGGTTGGCCTCCGGCAAACTTCGGTGAACTCTGGCGATATCTCAGGTAATTTTCTTGACTCCGTGAAGGTATTAGGAACGCCTTATACAAGTTCCTAACAAGGTTTAAAAGAAATAATTTTAAACAACATCTTGTCAGCAATCAAACAAAAGTGGCCAGACTCAGAACATAAGTCAGTGATCATACAACGAGATAATGCTAGACCTCATATTGTTGTTGCTGGCTGAGACTTTGTGCAATCAAGAACATAAGATGGTTGGAACATCCAATTATATATCAACCACCTAACAGTCCTGATTTAAATGTATTGAACTTAAGGTTTTTTTTTTTTAGGGAAATTGATTGCATAAAAGGATCAAAAGGCTCCCAGAAACATTATGGACTTAATGCATGCAGTGCAAACATCTTTGATGAGCTTACACCACACGCACTAACCAAGGTTTTTCTTAGGTATTAGTATGTCATGAAAGAAATCATAAAACATAGTGGGAGCAACAATTTCAAGCTCAAGCATGTTGGGAAGGACAAATTGGACAGATAATGTATGTTACCTCAAATGAGACAGTTAAGGCGGTAATGGGAGGACAAATGAGACATTTAAGGCGGTAACGAGAAGACAAATGAAAAAAACACATCACAAGGAAATCAGTTCATACATGAGGATTAAGAGGATCTTCAAATCCTCATACTATTAAATCATCTAATCAAGTCCCCCAACTATAAAAAAATCAATTCATACATGAAGATTAAGAGGATCTTTAGTCCTCATACTATTAAATTATCCAATCAAGTACCCCAACTATAAAAAATCAACCAATTTAGATTTGTAGTCGGTTGATTATAAACTTCACCAGTAATAGCTAAGTTGGATATCACATGGAATTATTTTCCTTTTCTTTGCCTTTTCTTCTTTTTTTTCTTCCTTTTTTCTTCATCCCCTGCTCCACCCATATGCCTGCAAGTCTCCAACACTCCCATTCTACCACTCTTTCACTTTTCTTTCTTTTTTCTCTTCCATTGACTTTCTTCTAAGGCCAATCAACCAATCGGCAAACCGAAGACCTCATTCCTCCTTTCTTCTTCAAACCCACCCAATTAACTCTTGACTTTCTTCTCTGGAGTGCAGTGGGGATGAACACAGAGACATGCTCGCTGGTAAAGTTTGTCACGCCCCAAATCGCAATCCAAGCGCGTGTACAACTGCCGTATAATTAAGTGACGTCACCCGCGAGTCAACCTCACTTAATTATACAAGGCGTTCGAGAAAATAATCCATCCATACTCAGTAGTAAATATACATAACAACATCACATTTAAACCAATGAATAGCGGAAATATTCAACGGTAAGTCATAAGCCACAACCGGCCAACAACATGGGCATGCAAGCCCCAAAAATAGTTTATAGTAGAGCAAATATCCATGAGCATGTGTTCGGTAGTTTGAAAGAAAATAAGGAAGCACGAACCACGTCTTCCTGAAGTAGATGTCACCCGTAAGAAGGTGCAGGTAGCAAGCCCTAGCTTCAACCTGAAAATGGTGGGGGGGCCCGAAGGGGTCAGTACAAGTACCGAGCGAGTAGCAGGCTAAATATAGAATAACTAGCGTTTCAAGTATAAGACCCAAACATAGGGTGATACTTATGTAAATAGTCCTTTCCCCCAAGTTAAGAAATACTTTCTAGTATGTATACACTTGGAAAATACCCGATCCGTAGATCACTGTTTTGTTTGGCAAAATAGTAATAGTCAATATTCTTGACTAAAAACCCCAACCCACCCATATACCTATGAGTGTATAGGACTCCTCCTTGTCCCTATTTCAATATCGTAATCTATGAGTTTTGAGGATCATAATCCCTGGGTACTCCACCAATTTATATTTGAGTGTTAAGGACTTTTAGTCCTAGGGTCCTCCACCAATTTATAATCCGAGTGTTAAGGACTTTAAGTCCTAGGGTCCTCCAGCAATTTATAATCCGAGTGTTAAGGACTTTAAGTCCTACGGTCCTCCACCAAAATATGAGTTTTAAGGACTTGTAAGTCCTAGGGTCCTCCACCAATTTATAATCCGAGTGTTAAGGACTTTTAAGTCCTATGGTCCTCCACCAAAATATGAGTGTTAAGGACTTTTAAGTCCTAGGGTCCTCCACCAAAATATGAGTGTTAAGGACTTGTAAGTCCTAGGGTCCTCCACCAATTTATAATCCGAGTGTTAAGGACTTTTAAGTCATAGGGTCCTCCACCAAAATATTTTCCTATGATCAACCTCCTATCAACCTAGATAGAGTCTATATCATATCTATTCATTCATAGCTAAATCAATACATAAAGCTTATGTATCACAATCCATGCAAAACCATGCATTTATATAGATTTATAATTAATTAATAACAACCGGTATTAATTAAATCCTTTGTCCATCGGTCAACGTTTTCGTTGACCGCCATTTCATGCCTTTCGTGTATCAACTTAATCATCATATAATTAAGTTAAAAATATTCATTTGTTCTTCTAATACACTTCAAACAAATATGCATTTTATATAATTCTTCATATCATATTCCATGCATCAACAATTAATTTCTTTCATACAAACTTAACCCTATTGGCTAATCACATGTTTAAATATCTTTTAAACATCATTATGAACTCATATAACATTTATTTAGGTAATCTCATAATTAACCCAAAAGTTATAAGATATTAAGCCGTCCACTCACCTTGAACTAGCGTTATGAAGTTCTACCCTTCTTGGTTGAACTCCGGTGAAACTCCGGCGACTTTTGGTCAACTCTGGCGAGAACTCCGGCGACTTTTCCAACTTTGTGAAATCACTTGAAATACCCTTTACAAGTGCCTGACAAGGTTTTATAATCATAAAACTCATATTAATACAAATATCCTCTAAAAGGTTATTTTTCGGTGAACCGGTCGTTTTGGCTTCTAAGTCCGTTTTTGGACGTAGAACCACCTTCCAACCCATAAATCCATACTTATAACATGTGGAACCATACTAAAGGTCCTTCATATGATATATACTTCATATGGTAGAAGAAAAACAAAGGAAAAGTTACAATAAGGTCATTACCTAAAATTTACACACTTTTCCTAGCCTTTTTCCTTCTTTAATCTTCCTCCTTGGACTACTTTAGGTTGAGTTCGAATCTTGGCTATGGAAGATGAAGTTTCAGAGCTTATTCTCCTCCTCTCCTTGGTGCTGGCCAAACCACAATGATGGGGAAAGAGGGGGGTTCACTTTTTGTCTTGATTGGCAAATAATGTGATGGGAGGGGGGTCATCTATGTACCTTAGATGCCAATCCCATCTCTTCAGCTCCCTCCCTTGTCTATCCAGCCCCCTTTGGTTAATTAGAGCACACAAAAACGTGAGGTGGCCCCCACTCATGTGGGAGGTCATCCCTTTGTGTCCCGGTGTGTACAATCGGTCCCGAAAGTTGTATTTTTCGGACTGTTTTAATCATATTTTATTTTATTGGGTAAAATAAAATATATTATGTGTTCTCAATTATAATGCCCTTTTGAAATAATATATGTTCCAAAACTTTAATTTAGAAGTCTCCGAAATTCATTTTCGGGCTGTTATCTAATAAATTTAATAAATTGTCGGTACCGGTAATTGGTCCTCTTTTGACCAATCAGTCAACTCCGGGCCTTTCCACGACCCAAATGAAATATCAACCGCCAGATAAATATTATCTTGAGCAAGATGAATAAAATATGTGGTCTCGGGAATGTTGGGTGGTCCCCGCTCGCGATGTGGGTCACACGTGCAATTTACTATTCACGCGAAAGAAATACCAAAAAATTACAACTTCGTAAATTCACAAATCATTCCATAAGGTTTATTACATCATTTACTTAAAAGTAAATATATTTGGGGACGGTGTTACAAAGTTGGGGATTCGATGGAGGACTTCACCCACCTCCGATGTAATACAGGGCCCTAGACCTCCGACGACTTCGCAACAACCATCCCCTCCATTTCCGGCGACATTGTAGCAGCCACCACACTGTCATCACCAGTTTTTTCAGCAACAGAGAGAACCAGACGAATGGAGAAGCAAAAGACCGAAGAGTGGGGAATCCGTGCTAAACGTCGCCGCCGTGTCCCGCTTCGGAAGGAAATCTGCAGCAGCACCCATGGCCCACATTGTCTCTTGCAACACTTTTTGCTCCTTTATACTCGCTGAAGGTATGAAGATGAAGAACTACAAGCTTCTTTTGGTTGGATGGAGTATTAGATATAAGCAACTACTTTTAGTTGGTTTGTTAAACGGCTGATAGTTGAGTTAGTTAGTTTAAGAAACCAACTAAAAGTTGAAGTTGTTGCTTATATCTAATACTCACAACAAACCAACTAAAAGTAGTTGCTTATACTAATATGGAGGGAAAGAAAGAAAGAAGGAAAGAGGAAATAGAGAAAAAGAAACGGAAGTTGCAGTCTGGGGTTGGGCGGAAGAAGACTGTCAATGAAAGAGAAGGGGAAACCGGGAAAGAAGAAAAGAAAGAAAAAGAGAGAATTTTCGAGTATCATGTTTTTTATTCCCTAAATAGGAGTAAAATTTCTGCCAAGTTAAGAAATTACGAGACTTTAAACATGACATTTTTTCTAAACTTGATAGATTAGTGCTATTTAGAGAATAAAAAACATGATACTCCTATTTTAGAATTTCAAAACGTTTTTACTCCTATTTAGGACAATTTTTAAAAGAAAAAAACGGCAAAAATGAAAAAAATGCATGTTAACCGTGTGTATAAATTAACCTGTTAACCGGTCGTTTACTGGTTAAAGTACTGAATTGAATGTTTTTTATAGTTATAGGATTTAATTGAGTGATTTAATAGTATGAAGGGTTAATTGACTTTTTGAATATAATATGAAGACCCTTTAAATTTTCATCACTTAAATATGGAGAAAATATACCGGTAAACGACATCCAAGCAGTGTTCTAAAAGGCTCCAAAAGGCCCCGCCTAGTCGGGCCTAGGCCTGGGGCGGCCCAAAAACGCCTCGCCTTGACACAATGCGTGACTAAAGGCGGCCCAATTTAATAAAACTAAAATTTTGGTTTGTTTTAACCTATGTCCGAAGAATGAATTCGCCCCATCAAAGTCAAATATGACGGATTGAATGCACGGGCCGGAGACTTGCTGTCTTGGACATGCTTGAACAAAGAAAAGACCACATTATATACAAAAGTAGAAGCAACAGTCCTTATTCGCTTCCGGTGTGGGAAGTTAAACTTCAAAGGAAAAAAACTGCATGCTATACCGGCCATCCGTAGGTTTGAGCATGTGTGGTTAATACCTACTAGTATTACACTATTACCAACTTATCTACATCTCCATATACTTCATACTCCCTCCGTATCAAATTAATTGACCTGTATGCTTTTTCACGTAGTTTAAGGCAAATATATGTAAAGTGGAGGTTTTTGGTACTGTAGCGGTACTGTAGCAGTACTGTAGCTGCTTTTTGGGTGAGTTTATTTCCAAAAAGGGAAATGAGACATTTATTTTGATACGTCCCAAAAGGGAAAGCGGGTCAATTAATTTGATACGGAGGGAGTATTTATTTACTAAAGTTACTTTAAATATCTTAATAGTTATTTTATATATTGAAACATAAATAAATATCATTATTACTACTCCCTCCATTCAAATTAAGTTGCAAAGTTGACTTTTTTGGATCAAGCATATTCATTTTATTCCTTTAATTATACGAAGTAATATCAATTCTTAATTAAATTTTAATTTATATTTTGCAACTTTATAAATTTTAATTATTCAAGTTGAATAAATTATCAGAAGGGGGTTTTACTTTCACATCGATTGATAAAAAATGTTGACTTTGCAAATAATTTGGGGCGGAAGTAGCATTATTTATGTTCATTATCAAAGTCATTATTATTACGATTATTATTATTGTTCTTATTGCACATTGACATCATTATTTTATCATTGATCTATTGTATTATTGTTTCCTTTTGTACAATAGGTGTATATATAACACATGCAGTTTCATGATATTATAACTCTAGAAGTTTGTTTTTGTGTGAAGAGTATGATGCTTTTGGATAAATTTATCTGATAATACATGTATATATCTACTAATACTTCTATGAAAATTAAAATGTTTAGTAAAAACCTAAAACGCCTTTTGACGCCTTTCCCCCGCCTAAATCCGCCTAGGCTTCAAAGGCTTAAGGCCCGATCATGCCGCCTTCCAACGACTTGGGCCTTTTAGAACATTAAACGAAATAATAGAATATTGGTTTTCACTTTTCTCAACGGAGAAGGATCCATATCACCCTTTTCTAATTTCCGAGCGCTTTTTGGAGGCTCGTGCTGCTTTCAATCGTACCGGAATGACAAGTTTGCCTTCAAATCAAAACCCTGTTGAAATGGATGCGTGTTCTGTTATTCCCATCTCTGGACCGCCTGCTTCAGTTGCTTCAGGTTATCTGATTTTGTAATTTACTGATCCATATCTTTTATGTTCTTCTGGATACATGATATTGCTTTATTATGAATCTATGATAATGTGTTGAGAATATGAGCTGCACCTGTTTGGGCCAAATAAGTGGTGTATATAAGGATTCCATATATGAGTAACTTCCCAAATGCTCTCAAGGTTTTTTCGTTTGGATAGGATAATCATTTTGTTCTATTTGATGCTTATTTAAAAAAAATTAGTCTTGTTCATAATTTCCCGAAGAAATACTCAAACATTAAGGAGTAATATTTGTTTGTTGTTACAGAAAATGGTGCTGTCTCGAACCCACAACCAATTCCAACTGGAAACGTTCCCTCTGCTACTGTTAAAATTGTGAAAGTCTTAACCGTCAATTTGTTTGCGTACTTTGAAAAGATGGTTTGCGCCCTATAATCTCATACTCCCTATGATAAAAATGATATACCCTAACATATATTTTCAGGAGCCTGAAACTGCAACCTCCATGCCAGAGCCCACATCTCCACATGTTTCATCAATTCCTCGTGCTGCCCTTAAATATGTCAAAGTCTGAGAGGTAGATTGCTTCATTTATTCAGTGATAAGTTTTTACATTTCATCGCATCTTTGTAGTTATATATAGGGTTAATGCCTCATTTGGTCCCTCGACCATATACTATTACTCGATGTGGACTCTGTTTGGGTCTTCAAGGGCCTCAAGCAATTTAGACCCAACTTGATCCTCGTTCATATTTCTCTCTAGTTAAGAAGGGTATTTTTTATATGCCGATAAGTCGATAACTAAATTGGATCCAAATAACATAGTTGAGAGCCAAATTGGGTCAAGATTTAGTGTATGGACAAAAATATCCTTGTTATTAGAACCCTTATGCAGTATGTATGAGGATGCACTTAAGGACAACTTTTATAGTCAAAGACCAAGTTGAGGATCAATTGGGTAATAGTATTGTTGGCGGACTAAATCAGGCATTAACTCCTATGTGAAGAAAACTCACAGGTACTTGTTATAATTTTAGTTGCTTAAATTACACGATATGAGTCACTGTGTGTATTATATTCCAATATAATATATGGAGTACTTTATATAACACACTGCTGTCAGCAACAATATTAGCCAGCAGCAGGATGGTTCTAATTTCTAACATCATCATTACCATCGCTATCTTAGTCCTAAATATTTCCGGTCGGTTGAATGAAATTAAATTTGTTAATTAATTTATTGCCTAAGTTCAGTTAACACTACAAAATTCATTAGAAAAAAGCAACAAGTTTTTTTGCCCCTGTGGCACTTTCTGTGTCAACCTTCTTGACAGGCAATAAACAGAACCGCTCGAATGTACTTGATAAATTTGATTGGTTACAGTATCGGGTATATACTTTCTTGCAGGGAAACTTATCTGATCAACGACAAGGACAACCTGATTTCATCACCAGACTAGAGGTATCTTTCAGGTTAACCTGTATATTTCAGTGCTCTTTAATCATCTTTAAAATGTCTTGTTTGATGGTGTTTACATTTGATTGTTTTGCATGTATATGGATCCTATGACTTATTTACTTTGACAGGGGTATAGGAGTGCGTCAGCATCTGAAACGTAAGTGTACACATTTATGAATTCTCTTGAATGTCACCCTTTACCAATCAAGTGTCACTGAGAACCTTCTAACTATTTGGATTAGTTGTTACTGGAATAAGCCAGCTTTGCAATCACAGCTTGGTGTTTTCTTTCACTATGAACTTTGTTCCCCACTATTTGAATTGAGTTTTATTTTGCCATCTCTTTCTTAGGGTTGCTGCAAATTGGCCTGAAACCATGCAAGTAGTACGACTTGTTTCCCAGGACCATATGAGCGATAAGTAACCCCTTTCATATTTCAACTATTGCATTTTCTTAAACCATTTGTGAATATGTTGTATCACATTATACCTTGATTAGTCTCACCATTAATTTTTATTTTATTTTTTATGATAGGCAATATGTTGGTAAAGCAGATTTTTTAGTTTTTCGAGCCATGAACGAGCATGGTTTTCTTTATCAATTACAAAAACAGAAGCTTATAAGTATTTTACTGAGGCTTGCTTGTATAAGATCAATCAAGAAATGAAAAGCTTATTTTAAATATCATAAAATATATGAAATCAGTATATAGTACTCTCTACGTCCCATTAGACTTTACCAACTTTGTTTTTTTGGTTCTCCCAAAAACCTTGTCAATTCCCCATTAAAGTAACTGATTTCTGGTTTTGTTCATTTTTTCTTAATTTTACACTAAATTCATTTTTTTTATTTGACACTAAAAGTTTTATATCTCTAATATCAACTAGTTGGCATTAAGGTGCTAATAACGATGTGTTATTTTATTGAATGGCCCTTGTGCAAGTGTTTTTCCATCATTTCCAATGGAAACAAAGACTCACTAGTTTTTGGCTTGGGAATATGATGGAGTAAAGCAAAATGATTAACTAAGCTGATTGCACTTGCACAATACAAGCAATTTTCAACGCGATTTTCATCATGGGTCATTCGGAAACAGCCTCTCTATGCTATTAGTATAAGGGTAAGGCTGCGTACGTCCGACCCCACCTACCCCACCGTAGGTGGGAGCCCTAGTGGCACTGGAGTAATGTTGTTGTTGTTGTGGCTCTTGTGCAAGTGTTATTCATCAATTGATATGGTCTGAAAAGATACGCGATTTGTTTCTAGTGTGCAGTCATTCAATTTCCCTCACAGACACTATTGCTCTCTGTTTCTGACAAAGCTTGCCGCTTGATCGGGATGCTTTTTCCAGGGGAAAGATTTCTCTTTGAAACTTAATGGTATGGCCTGGGTGATGGAAAATGTTAGGTAAAAGATAGAAAATGCCAATGAAAGTTAATTTTTTACTGTTTGGCTTTGCTTTGGACCATACTCTACAAAGGAAAATAGATATTCCTTCCATTCCTAAAAGGTTTTTCATTTTAGTATTTATTTGGTCACCATAATTCATTTTTATCTCATTATGTATCATATTTTTATAACGTTTATATTACATTCTAATTGTATATTATGGTTGAATATATTCCATAATGGAACATCGATTAAGCCTAGGGGCTTAGCTGGGGGCCTAGGCCCTGCCCCACCCCAAATTTAAAAAAGTCTGTATTTAGTGTAAAAAATTCCGTGTATTTTTTTCCTCAAAAATATTCCTTGTACCGGTCCAGTGTCCTGTCTCCGCCCCTGATTTAGCCTATATCATCTTTTCCATTCTTTTTTTTTCGGGTCATGTTTGTATTACTTTGCTAGCTCTGTATTTCTTACATCAAGTATAAATCATTGTCTTCATATCCATCCATAACTCCCAACTATTGCCTCTTAAACTTCTGAAAAATATGAATTTTGATTAATATGCTAGTTACATTACATAAAGCTAATGGGTAACTAAAGGGTTTCCGAGTCCAATCCCCCTCCAAGTTCGTTTTTTAAAACATTTTATGTAAAGTCAAAATCTGGTTTACAGCTATTTATGGAAGTCATAACTATATTGAGAGAAGGAATCTTTGGCAGTTCTTGGAAAGTTGGGCTGACATTAATAAAGATCCATGGTTTGTGGGGGGAGATTTTAATGTTATTGCTAATCAGGGGGAACATAAGGGTCATTCTACACCTATGCTGGAAAGCATGACTGAATTCAAGGATTGTTTGGCCAATTGTGATCTGGTGGACTTACCATTTCATGGTTCTTCTTTTACATGGACTGGAGTGAGGGCTAATGGCAGGATTTGGAGAAGGTTGGATAGAATTTTGTTTAATTCTTCCTTTTTGGGAATCTATGATAATATTCAGATTCAGCATCTTAATAAATCTTCCTCCGATCATTTTCCAATCCTGCTACAGTGCAAAAATCAATTAGTGACTGGACCAAAACCTTTTAAATTTCAGAACATGTGGATATCTCAATCCAGTTTTTTGAAGGTTGTTAGTGATGCATGGAAGACTTTCCCTAGCTTTGTAGGTATGAGGGGACTTCACAACAAACTACAGTCTCTCAAGCAGATTCTTAAATCCTGGAATAAAAACACCTTTGGTGATTTATTTCACGATATTAAGAAATTAGAGAAGGATGTTGCTAAAGCTGAGATTTTATTTGAGTCTAATCCTTCTGAGGAGAACAAAGATAATCGGTACTTTAAACAAGGCTCTTTTACTTAATAAACATAAGCAGGAGTCTCAATTTTGGAAACAAAGAGCTAGACTCAAATGGTTAAAGGATGGGGATTCCAATACTAGCTTTTAGCATGCATATGTGAATGTCAAAAGAAGGATGCAGGCTTTAACCGTGATTAAAGATTCTTCTGGGAATCTATGTACTGAACCAGATGACATTGCCAATGCAGCTGACCACTTCTTTTAGGGCATTTTCACTGAAGAGGAGGTACATGATGTGGATTCCATGCTGCATTACATTCCCAAATTAGTAGACAATAATGATAACAAAATGTTGATGGAGTTACCTGATTCAGAAGAAATTAAGGCAGCAGTCTGGGGCCTAGATAAAGATAGTGCAGCTGGTTCTGATGGATACAATGGTGTTTTTTTCAGACATTGTTGGCCTATTGTAGGGGGTGATGTGGTGTTGGCGGTGCAGGATTTCTTCCAAGGTAATCAGATTCCAAAAGCAATGGGCAGTTCTCTTATAGTTCTCATTCCAAAAAACGATAGTGTCAACCTTTTTTTATTTCAGGCCTATTGGTCTCTCCAAATTTATTAGCAAGGTTTGTACTAAAATCTTGGCCACCGGGCTTATGAATATTCTTCCTAAGTTAATATCTGTTGAACAGGCAGGATTTATGAAAGGGAGAGATATTTCAGACCATATTTTAGTTGCTCAAGAAATGATTAATTCTCTTGATAGGAAAGTCAGGGGAACTAATCTTATTGTGAAGTTGGACATGGCAAAAGCTTTTGACAGGATTTCTTGGTTCTTACAAGCTGTCCTTTCAAAATTTGGTTGTTCACATATTTTTGTTACTTTGGTGATGAATCATCTTAAATCTACTCACTTTTCGGTACTTATTAATGGATCACCAAAAGGATACTTTCAACCTCAGCGAGGGGTGAAACAAGGGGATCCCCTTTCCCCTTATCTATTCATTCTTGCTACTGAAGTTTTATCTAGAGGATTGAAGTGTTTGGTATCTTCTAATCAAATTAAACCCTTTTGGATTGGCCCAGAAGGGCACCCGGTTACTCATTTGTGTTATGTTGATGACATTTTAATCTTTCTGAATGGGGAAGCTAGATCTATTCAAAATTTTAATAAGTTCCTGGGTCAATATCAAAGGGCTTCTGGTCAGGCTATCAACTTTGAAAAAAGTAATTTTGGTTGTGGAAAAACTTCTCTTGCAAGAATCAGGAAAATGGAGAGGCTCCTGGGTATGACTAAGATAAACCTACCCATGAAATATCTTGGCTCAAACCTGCACAAAGGCATCAATAGAAAGAATTACTGTCATGGAATACTTCAATCCTTTGATAAAAAATTGACAACTTGGAAGCAGAAACATCTTAATTTTGGGGGAAGAATGGTGCTAATTAAGCATGTTCTTAATACTATTCCTCTCCATTTATTAGCAGTTGATACTCTCCCCAAGGCTATTTGCAGAAGCTTGGAAAAAAGAATGGCTCATTTCCTATGGGGTTCTAATGCTACTAAGAGGAAATACCATTGGATAAGGTGGAAGGATTTATGTCTACCCTATGAGGAGGGGGGTCTAGGTTTCAGATCATTAGTGGATATTGAGAAGGCTTTTTCATTAAAACTATGGTGGAAATGGAGAAATAATAATTCTGGGTGGGCTCAGTTTTGTCAGGCTAGATATCCTAGGGGGTTAAATATGACTCCTAAAGCCACAGACTCAGTCATTTGGAAGAGAATTTGTAAGATACATGATGTGGGGCAAGCATTATGCATACAAGACGAGGCAGGGGAGTATATTTGGTCATCTGAAACCAATGGCAGATTTAGCTTGTCCTCGGCTTTCCATGAAATCAGAAGAACTAGGAATATTGCTTTTTCCTTCAAGCATACCTGGAATACTCATCAACAAAGCCAGATTCAGGTTTTTTTATGGAAGCTATTACACAAAATTCTACCTTTTCCTGATAATCTGCAAAGGTTTAATACGATAATCTTCCCAACTATGTGTCCTTTTTGCAAGAAGGAATCTGAATTTATGGAACATGTTTTACTCACATGTTCTTTTAGTTGGTTCATTTGAAAATATTTCATTGGCATTTTTGAGATCCCACTGCCTTCAAATACCATTTCATTGAGACAAATGCTTTTAGCTTGGTGGATGGAGGCGGGTTCTAAATCTCTTTTTGATTTTGTTAAACATAATATGGCTGGGATTATATGTTGGCATATCTGGAAAGCCTACTGCCAGATCAAATGGGGGGATGGTAATGACCCCAACAAGTTACTGATTATCAAACAAATCAAGGCTTACTCGCAGATTTGGGCTGAGGCAAAATTGTCTAAGCTCAGATTAGGAAAGCCTAGTCAAATGCTAGTTGAAGAAGAACTTTTGCCCAATTCGTTTAAATATATGAAGCCGAGGATACAAGTTATGAAATGGAGTTTACCTTCACTTGCTTTCAAATTAAGTGTGGATGCATCCTTCAACTCTACTTGGGCGGCTGGTGGAGCTGTGTTTCGATTCAGATTGGGCGAATTTGTGGTCGGTTTGCATTTTACTCTCTCTGCTAACTCAGCTATGGAGGCGGAGCTTTTAGCGGTATACACTGCAGTTTCTTGGCTGGTGAATAAGGGTTATCAGGGTTTCGAGGTGGAAATGGATTCTCAGACGGTCTTCGGTGCTATTCGGGACAGTAATTCTGGAGGACGATGGAGGAGGAAGCTCGATGACCTGAGAAGCTGGATGGTTGAGCAAATTTATTTGGTTTGTTCGATTTTCTTTTTCTTGTATTTTTCAGAGGAATGCCTCTGAAGGGAGGTTTTGGTTTGGTCCCCCTCTCCTGTGTACTCCCATCTATATTAATAAAATAATGGCGGCATTTGCCCCACTGATTTTGGTGGTTTACCTTCCGGATTAAAAAAAATGTGTAAAGTAAAAAGGATATGTGGAAAATTTTGGAACTTTGACAATTATGGTTGATTAAATAACCTTTTATTGTCTGATACCATCCCAGATTGCACAATTTTTATTCTTTTGAATCATGCCTCTCTTTGGTTTGTGTTTCTTGATTTGTGTTGTATGCTAAAGTGAGATGAAGATAAATGCTCTTTGAAATGCTGAAACATGTATGCACCTTCAGTGCATTGGTGATGAAAATCAGCCTAAAATGCATTGAGGCAAAAATAATAAGGATAAAATGATGTATGGCTAATTCATAGAATTGAACCATTACTTTATATTGATAAAGGATGTTCATAATATTGGCATTTTGCTTGATGATGTCGCATTTCGCATTCATACAGGTCTATATATAGCCGTGTGTGGTGACCATTTAAATGCCGTCCGCCAATAACAGATCTGGATTTTGGGGAGTACAACAGCCACATAGAATAACACTTACCTAGTAAATGATCTTTATTGATTTTTGTTGTTGCATTTACTGTGTGTTAGCATGGTTCAATATTTGAACGTCAGAACTCAGAACCAATACTGTGGAATTGTAACGTCTTATCTTGATTTCTATTGCATGATCCTTATTTTTAGCTGACTCCGAACTCTTTTGGGACTAAGGTATCAATAATGTTTTATCCTTTTTCTTGGTGTTCTAATCTGTATATTGAAATTATTTATTGTGTTGTCTTTTTCTTGTGAAGTGATCCGGTGTAAGCCAAATAATTTCAATGGCAAATGGGCTGAATAGCAGAATACCATCCCTTCCTTTTTAGGTGCAATGTTATTTGTGAAGTCTGTTTGCATCCATAATCCATGAAGTCTGATTACACTAAGTAAGAAGAGTTTCAAATTTCAAATATAAAATGGCAGTCCAAAATGTTACACTTTTCTCCTCTAATGTATGAACAAATATCCAAAATAAACTTATCAAGTTTTACTTTGAAATTATTCAAAATTTCCTTCCATTTCCTTTCCATTGTCCTCTCTCTATTTCCCCTCATACTTTCATTGCCTAGTGTTTTTGGTATTCCAATCGGACACACTTGAGATACCAAACCTGCAATATCCTTAGCTTCAATAGTTGCAGCAGTAGCAAACACTCACATATGCAAAAATCACAACACCCGTAGCAAATGCAGGAAGCTTGATGTGAGTTTTCTCGCACTTATAATAGATTGTAATATAGTGGTGTAAGTACGAGTATCGTCTCCACAGGGACGGACAAAAGGGAATCAAGAATTAATTAAATTCAGCGATTAAAAAGAAAATAAAATAAAAGCGTCGTGCGAGATTGGTTGGTTTGGAAAATAAAACTGCGAATAAAACGATTAAACTAGGGGGTTCTTTCTAATTAATGACGAAGGAAACATGGATTGATTCCGGGGTAACCAGATTTCTGGCAGATCAGGCTTAATTACATGAAATTAATTTAATTGAGCCTAGCTAATCACTACTAAGTTCTTACCGCTCTCGCGGCGTAGAGTACAATAATTTAGGGGACCAGGTTGATCTCTCATGCGACAGGATCCTAAATTATTGCCAAGACGAGCGAGCTTACGGCCCCTTAATCGCTACTAATCTCTTAGCGAACGATTAAGTGTGTGTGAATGTGTCCTAGAATAAATTAGATCTCTCTTAATTTATTCTACATGCAATTGTAATTCTAGTGGCCATCTAGGTTACAAAAGATATCAATTAATTTATTTAAACACAAATTAAACGGCATTCATGCAATTAACCCATCAAGAATCTAGCCATACATCATGATCAACCCCTTCATCAATCCCAAATCCCTATTTAAAACTACTCACAATTCATAATTGAAGAATCAATAGAATTGGAATAAAAAGAATTAATTGTCATTAATTAAAAAGGTTGAACTTACAAAGAATCCCAAAAGATTGATGAACAAGGCTGAAAAGCCCTCTAAAATTCATGCTAGGCACTCTCTCTAAGCTCTCCCTTGAAAACGGGGGTTTACAGGCTGTTTAAATAGAAACATCGGGTGAAATTTGAGCGAAATTAGGATTCCAGAGGAAACACATGGGGAAACGCACGGCGTACGTCCCCCAGTGCGTCCGGAGCATAGCCGCGTAAAAATATGGAACGCACGGCGTGCGTCCCCCAACGCACGTCCGTGCGTTGCTGGCAGTATCTTCCTTGCTTTCTCGCCTCAGACGCACGGTCATGCGTTCCCCTACGCACGGCGTGCGTAAACCTTCCGAATTGGACCAAACTTCCTTCATAAAAGTTGTAGATAATGAAGTCCTCTATCCACCACAACTTGCCGAATCGGATTTGGATCATCCAATCAAGAGATATGAATAAAATGGTGGAAGGTCTCATTCTGAAATCGCAGCAGGGATCATCTGACTTCATTGTCTGTTTTCATCTTCTCCTCTCAGATTCTCGGAATGATGTATTCATATGATTTGTAGCTCTTGAAGTTGGCTTTCATGTGGACTTTGAATCGTGTTCTTTGGATGCTTCTACAAAGAGATATGCTTGAACGATTGACAGAAGGTCATCCTGAATGCTGTTTTCAAGCTTTATTCATCTTCTTTTGATCTCATAACCAATCGTAGAGCTCGTTTGTCATCAAATCTTCATCGTAAACATCCCGTTGAACTCCACTGCTCTCAATTCACTCTCGAATGCTTCTCAACTCATCCCAATTGCTTCTCAAGTGCCGGTGCCGAACTCTAAATTCTTGATTTTGACTCCAAATGACACAAAACTCGAACCAACGCCTGGTAAACATAACTTGAGCTAAAATTGAGACTTATAACACCTTAAAGCTAGTAAAACCATCAAAATCCAATCCCAACACGCATCAAATGTGTGTCTAAATACGGACTTATAAGATTCCCCCACACTTAAGCCTTTGCTTGTCGTCAAGCAAACTGAACAACGGGACTTACGATAATCACCACACAGAATTAAAATAATTAGCATGCACACGTAGTTAAAGGGATATTCACAGAACAGGCAGACTAAACCAAGAAAATTTTTCCCTAAACTACATCTTTGTACTCAAGCTAAACTATTTGACAAATTTATTCACAACATCCTCAAAGTAGTGACAACGTACATGACGTGCTCCTTGTCGTGTGTGCACTCAAAGTAAATTCAATACTAACAAATATACGTAGTATAGCGTAGTAGAGTTCGTATCCACAGGGAAAGGAATAATTTATCTTTTTAACGAAAGGAGTAAATAAGGGGGGTTTTGATTGTTGAGTGATTTAATTAAATTAAACATGAAGATGAACGAGTTATATGGGTTTTAATTCAAAGATAAAAGGGACTTGGCATTGCTACTTTACACTTGTTGATATATTTTAGTCGATCATTGTTATATCTATAACTTATCTCCTCTCGAATACTCAATCGAGGAGTATATCCAATTCATCGAGGATAGTTATTAACAACGACCGTTCATTAATAACCCTTACTATTAGTCAAGTATAGAACAACGCCATATACCGACTTGATAGTAGCATTTAATCTTTTGACTCCTTGATGAAATCAATTGAGATTGATAACCTCAACACAACGGTTTCGGTTTAACCAACAAAATTAATCTCTCTTAAGTTTATTAACCACGACCGTGCATTAATAAACCGAAGTTACTTACTTGTGAAACTATCAACGATTAACCATCGGTTCGTTGATCGTTTCTAGTAATAATTAATATGTGAAACAAAACTAGTTGATCCTTTAAGTAATGTTCAAAATATTAATATGAAATATGAATAGGAATTAATTAATACTCAAGGAAGAATATTAAAGAAGATGAATCCTACTATAGTTAATATCAAGATGTTAACTAATTGTCATCTTAATAACACTCCCCGATATTAACATAGAGGAAGGAATAGCTATTACTAAGACCAATGTCAAGATGTTAACTAATTGTCATCTTAGTAACACTCCCCAACATTGATATAGAAATAGTATTTAAAGGAAGAATTAATATTCAAGGAAAAGAAGTTAAGAAAATAACTCACAACTTTAATAATCAACAAGCTTCAAGAGCAATACCAAGAAATGGAAGTTTAGCTCCTCATTTGGAGACTAAACATGCTAAAAGAAATATAGAGAAATGCTATTCTAAACTGAGCTTAAGAGTATATAGGAATTGGTTCTTAAAAGTGAAGGAAAGGAGGTGTATTTATAGGCTTTTTTGAGGTGCAGGTCGGGTACTCGATCGAGTATATACATATACTCGATCGAGTATGTGTAGAAATTCGAATTCGATCCATACTCGATCGATATTCGAGTAGAATTCATAGCTATACCCGATCGAGTATGTCGGTGTACCCGATCGGGTATAGACACTCGATCGTGGTAAAATCTTCCCTGCATGTTCCTTTGTTTTCGGATCCGATTCGATTTGAAATTTCAACAAGATACTCGATCGAGTATAGGTAATACTCGACCGAGTATAGACCAAAATCAGGATCTTCCCTTTTTGTCTTGTGATTTTGCACCTTCCTTCCACTTTTGGGGTTCACCAACTGTCCTTTGAGTGATGGTAGACCTGTTTGAGCTCAGAATAAACCTAATCTAAACAATTTACAAGAATTTAACAAACTAAACTATTACACCGAAAGTGTGTAATTTCCGAAATACTAAACAACCAAAACTAACTAAAAACGTAAATAAACACACGGAAATTACAAACGTATCAGTACACAAATAAACTAGCTATTGATCAGAAGGACTTGTGAAGGTGGTGGTGAATGGTCTTGGATAATCAAAATCAGTCCCTCTTTTTTTTTGAGAGTTTGGAACATCCTGACAAAGACTCAATGCATTAGGGAATTTCGGGGCTATTTTTAAGAACAAGGAACTTAGTAGGCCACAATTTAGGAACAATCATTTAAACCTATGCAAAGAGTAGACATGGTGTACAACTAAGCTAAACCGTCTCGGCACATTTGTGCTTTGACGTAT